AGTAAAAAAGTCCCACGTCGCCGTCGCCGTTGTCGGATCGTAAGGTCCCTAATAACTTGATAAAACCACTGACCAAGTGTACAGTGGGAGTAAGATATCTTTGATTTCTAGTGATAGAGGAGTCTCATTCTTTCCACCAATATCTGAAAATTAACTAAACGAAGTAGAATTGTATATCTGCATCTCAGCTATCCCTGGGAATTTGCTATTACATCGAGACTAAACCGACTGGTTAAAAATTTCTTTTTTATCAATTTCTACCTGCTTGACAGAATGTGACGAGAATTTACCACCCGATTACTCCTTTGGTGAAAAGAATAAGTTCTGGAAATGGACCTGATGTTCAGACACACGTGGTGCTCGGATGTGAGTCAACGTTTCATTCGAGCTTCGATCTTTTAATTTTGACTCTCGTTTGCATTTCTTGTAGCATTACAGCTGTTGCTGTCCATCATTGGATCATTATTGGCAGCTGGTTGAATTGCCATTCGTTTTCAATTCTTCCAATATCCCAAAATAGTAACGGGTATAAGAAAAACGTGTTCCATACGATTCTCGGTGCACAGTTTAGATACTGACTATGCTTGTCGATAGAATTATCGGCTGCACTCAGCCCATAGTGTACAGTTACAGGAGTAGCCGGCAATTTGCTCTAGATTCCCCAACTCAAAAGACATTGTTTATTACGTAATATATATATATATATCTAGCTTTCATTTGGTTTTGAATGACATAAGAAAAACTAAAAGAAATAAAATACAAGACGAGAAATAAATTAAACTAAGGGACAGAAAGCGAAAAAATGACATCATGTCGATTTTAAGGAAAAACTTCCGTTTATCTTTGGATGACTGATCGATCGCGCAACTTCCAAATTTCGTGGACTTGAAAAGTCAATTTCACATCTTTCGCATATTTGATACAGATAAAAATTAATGCAGATCACCACAAGTAAACCCAGGAAGCCTAGATACGGTTACAATAACTCTAAATGACTCTTCTAATGTCTGAAAATGACCATTGTACATCTTCTGGTGACTCCGAAAAGCCAGACTCATTAACATCAAATTTTATCCTATATCAAAATATAAATAACGTGGTTGTCCATCACTTCATTGATCACCCCCATTAATTTTACTCGCCTTAGGTGATTTAGATCAGTCGAGAGAAAAAATATTGATTACCTCAGTTTATGGCGTCATCTCTAAAGACTATCACTACATAAACACACCTTTAAATTTCATTCCATTATTCCTCTTTATCCCTAAAGTAGGGTGCAGAAACATACATGACAACCAAATCTTGTTTGTGAGAAATGCTACTTGTAATTTCTTACCTAGGTTTTTTAGAGCAGAGTATTTGGATGATGTTGCATTATACTGCAAGCTGGTTATTGTGAAGCGTGTACGCGACAAACTAATTTATTTCTACGCAAGTTATCAGGGACAGATGTGAAGGTCGGGGATGGGAGGGCGGTAGGTCTTTGAGTTACCACGACGTTCCTAAACCCCCCCTTCCCCGCCCTTTTTGAGATGATTTTTTTTTCCTTGAAGTCAAAATAATTTAAACTTTGTTATTCAGATGGTGAAACAACGCAACTCCAAATAATCTACAAGGCATTCAACACCCTGTACTCCTGCGACAAATTTTCGCTTTCAGTGAAATACTGCGTGGATCTTGTAAAAAAAAAAAAAGAAAAAACGTAACGTAAAATTTAAAAAGGAGAAAAGTCATCTTATATTGGCATATTTATATTTTTTCTGTTCATCCGAGCTACTGTAAATGAGTGAGACGATCTGAATTATTATCATTTTGATGTGCTCATATCTGATATCTGTAAAAGGATTTGTTTAAGGACTGTTAATATTTTGAAAAAGATATATGAAAGTTAATTTATAATTCTTGTTGTTTTCCTTTTTTTCCCTTTTACAGAAAAGGTTATTATCTAGCCTTCTTTTGTAATGCAAATAAATGTTGCAAATTTGACTGAAGAATGGCTCTACTGAGGTATAATACAGGCTTAGTAACGTTTTTGTGGTTAGGAAATAACAGAGCTTAGGGAGAATACCTATACATCTTTTGGTTTTTTTCCAACCACTGTAGTTAGTGTGGCTCTTCCAAATAATATTTGAATCTATATAAACTCCAAGATATCTAATGCAAATCTCTTCAGTTGATGATTGATTGTTTATCAATAGCATAACCTTTTTGGGAATTTGTTTTTGCACTGGATGAAAAAGAACAAAATGTGACTTTTCAATATTTACTGAAAGCTTATTTGCCGATAGCCAAAGATGCACTTTTCCAGGTTCATTGTTAATTTCACTTTCAAGTATGCTAAGGTCCTTATCCTTAAAAAAAATAAATTTGCGTCCTCTGCTAAAACAAACCAGCTTGTCGGCCACCCTCTTCACAATAACCAGCTTGCGGTATAATGCAACATCATACAAATACTCTGCACTAAAAATAGCATGGTGAGTTTTTTTCTCGACTGATCTAAATCACCTAAGGCGTGTAAAATTCATGAGGGTGATTAATGAAGTGATGGACAACCCAGCTAATTATATTTTGATATAGGATAAAACGTGACGTTAATGTGTGGCTTTTCGGAGTCACCAGAAGATGTACAATGGTCATTATCCGACATTAGAAGAGTCATTTAGAGTTATTGTAACCGTATCTAGGCTTCTTGGTTTACTCGTGATGATTTGCATTAACTTTTGTCGCTATCAAATTTGCGAAAGATGTGAAATTGATTTTCGAGTCCACGAAATTTGGAAGTTGCGCGATCGACCAGTCATCCAAAGATAAACGGAAGTTTTTCCTTAAAATCGACACTATGTCATTTTTTTGCTTTCTGTTCCTTAGTTTAATTTATTTCTCGTCTTGTATTTTATTTCTTTTAGTTTTTCTTATGTCATTCAAAACCAAATGAAAGCTAATAAACAATGTCTTTTGAGTTGGGGAATCTAAAGCAAATTGCCGGCTACTCCTGTAACTGTACACTATGGGCTGAGTGCAGCCGAT